CTGGTAACCTGGATATCAAACCTCGAAACCGTATTATATTCAGTTAAATAATAACTTTCGATGCCAAAAAAGTCAACAATACGTTCCTTGATCTAACAACTTTATATTATACAACTTAGCAACACATTATACCTCTTTCAATTGATATTTTTACTCAACGCAAAGTTCCGTAGCACACGTCTATTCGTTTGAGAGAAACACTTTCAATGTTGCCACACTGGTTTCCATCTTACATTGACCTTTGGTGACTTCTAGGAAAGCCCACATCCGGTACTTATAACCAGGACGTAATTGGTACCGTAATAATTATGTTGTTAATGAGTTACTATAAAAATATATAAGTAACTACTCTGTAAAATATACTGCTGAGTAAAATAACTAGCTTTCAACCCGTGGATTCGCATGTGCTTTTTAAGGGGATTTATTAAGACACTAGCTTTTACCCGCGGCTTCGCTCGCGTCACAAAAGGATAAAAAGTAGCCTATGTGACATATACCAATACACACAGCGCCATTTATACCAATAATTACGTTTTCCCTCGATAATATACATTTTTTCCGGGATAAAAAGTACCCTTTTAATCCAGACTTCTAACTTTACGTCTGCAAAATTTCAAAGCAATCGGTTTAGTAGTTACGGTGTGAAAGTGGAACAAACAAACAAACAAACAAACTCACTTTCCCATTTATAATATTAGTAAGCATAAGGATAGTAAGGATACACACAGCGCCATCTATACTAATAATTTCGTTTTCCCTCGATAATATACATTTTTTCCGGGATAAAAAGTACCCTTTTAATCCAGACTTCTAACTTTACGTCTGCAAAATTTCAAAGCAATCGGTTTAGTAGTTACGGCGTGAAAGTGGAACAAACAAACAAACAAACTCACTTTCCCATTTATAATATTAGTAAGGATATGCACTTTTTTTGTTAGTCTTTTGAGACCAAAGTCCGTATACCAATTTTTAGCTATAATTGCAGAATGTCAGCTATGATAACATGAATATAATTAGTGGAAAACCTACGAATTTGCCTACCTCCTATGGACATAATAAGCCTATACTATATTATGCACTTTTATATATTATGTAAATAAAGACATATTAAAAAAAGATTAAACTAAAATATCAGACCAATTTGTAAGTAAAATATATTAAGAAATATAATGTATATACAGATATAAGAAGCTATTTTTAGTTTTAGCTCACATTTTTATTCAGATTGAACGGAATTGTAGTCTGATTGTGTAATTAAAAAACCGAATAGTATTAAATTAATACGAGAAAGTCACATTATACAATCATTTTACAGAATCAATAACAAAGGAAAGAATTTTATATTTAAGTGTGGGAGAGCCATGCTTCGGCACGAATGGGCCGGCTCGACCGGATTAATACCACAGCCGCACAGAAAACCGACGTGAAGCAACGTTTGCCTTGTGTTTCGTCGTGTGAGTGATGTTACCGGAGGCCCAATTACCCTCCCCTTCCCCAATCTCCCCAATCCCTGAATCCCCAACGATCCTCAAATTCCTAATCCCCAAAAGGCCGGTAACGCACTTGTAACGCCTCTGGTGTTGCGCGTGTCCATGGGCGACGCCGATTGCTTACCATCAAGTGATCCGTCTGCTCGTTTACGGTTTTATCGTTATATAACGTGTTACACCCTCGGCTCTGTCTGAATGACTGCTCCCGCCTCACCCAGGCGGGAGCAGTCATTCGATGATTTTCCCCCCTTAAAAAAAAACCACAACATTTAACATTTTTGAACAATTAAAATTACTTTTTATGACATTTTCCGAGTTATATGTACTAACTTTGTAAAATTATTTACACACCACTGACAAACGGTGAAGGAAAACATCGTCAGGAAACCTTGGCTTATAACTTCTAATTATAAATTTGTGGTGTTAATGCTCAAACCTTCTCCGTGTGAGAAGGGGCCTCTGGTCAGCAGTGGCCACTTATAGACTGTTGACGATTGATGATTACAAAAATAAATGTTATTTGCAATTATTGTAAGTGAAAATGATAACTATCTACTTTAAATATTGTGTGAAATGCATAGTTAATGTTTTACCTACATATTTAAGCCTTATATACTGACACGTAAAATAATACATTTTTTCATGAAATATAGAACTTAACTAAACTATCTCTGTTCATTCATCTTTCTCATTATATTACTTTTTATTTAATTTACTCATTCTCCCAGACCAGTGCACAAAAACACATCACTATTTTCCATTCACTCGTTCATTCAATGCTAATATTTCATTCATTCATTCATTTCATTCACCGTATCCGAAATGACCTTGTTTTTTAATTTTCCAAACAGATGCCAACGGACCACATCGAGCTCGATTCGAAAAAAATAAAAGAAAAAAAGTTTTAGAAAAACCAATGTTTATACAGACAGACATACGAACGCCAATGAAAAGGGTCGATTATTACGAATTCCCTAATGTGACGAACAGACTGGCGGATTTACCGAAATTTAGACCAATCACTGACGAGCAAATGTTGAAAATTAACGAAATTCTCGACTCTTTGCCTTCGAGATTACCGAAAAGAAAGGGACGAGTGATAAATAGTTTGAGCAGTCCACAGAATGTTATAAAGCCTCCCGTGACCACAGATACGAAACCACAGAAAATAGAATCGAATGACAGACAAGACGTGAAAAAATGTCCACAGGGAGGGACTTGCGAGTTTTTTTTTTACTGTTGGATGGTCGGAGGCCTATTAGATGGGTCTTGCGGGAGCTTGTTAAAGGGTTGCTGTCATAGAGTGGCCAAAGCTGGAATTTTGGGAGTACAGGACTCGAATAGCCTTGATGCTAGCAGTGAAGGGTTGAGTTACGGACCCGTGGTCAATGATGAAAGTAAGTGAACTTGATGGCACGGTAAAGCGTAATTTTGAATGGTATAGGAATTTTATTGTTTCTCTGATATTAATAACTTTGCACGCTTATAATGGCACGATTATTTTTACTTACAGATTCTTTTTTATATTCGTTGTAGTTTTTGTTAGCATGTTTTCGTAGTGATTTTCTTTAGATTCGTTTATTTATAGATTTTGTGCATGATAAAAATTCCACACGTAAGTACTTTAAAATTTTATGTAGTATGTTATTTACACATTTCTTTTACTTATGTTTTCTGATATTTTTTGTTTATTCCATTTTAAAGTATCAATATTACGCTTTAGCGTGTTAGACATCAGAACAACGCCATCTATCGTCAAATAAAAGTACTAACCGAGCTCGGAGTGGTCGTTCGGCAAGACATAGCTAGAATTAGCCAAAAAGTAGACAAATATTCGTTCATATCCGGATCCGGTGACGTCATCAGGTATTGAAAACTTATTATATTGTATATAATGTTATATTTCCTCTGTTGTATATATAAATTCTTTTTTTTTCAAATTCCGCCTCCTTATTCTAACTATGTCTTGCTTTTTCACTATGTAAACTGATTTTGTATATATTTATATATTATACATTACTTACTAACCTACTAATGAAATAGAGAGATGTATTATATATTTCTATTTTAAAATTACTTACTAGAATATTTAAGGTAAGTGGCATGTCATTTTCTTTAATATTATTCTTGTTTTTTTTTTGTTTTCTATCCTCATTTTAATTTTTCTAGCGATATACACTGATTTCTTTTATGTTTATAAATTATAATTTACTTTATCTATTACGGTAAAAAACGGGTTCGTTGGTATAGATTCGTACAAACTCATTTTAGCTGTGAATAGTTACAGACCGACTTAATAGAAAGATTTTTATTCATGAAACGTATCCTTATTGAAATAATTCTTTATTCGCGCTGAATATTTTTAAACCTACCTAGTACAAAATTTTGTATACATATTTTCCATCTATAGTATACATATAATAAAAATAACTCTACTTATTCTCTGTATAGAACAAAACAATAACATTATTATTAAACAGTCCAAAAAAAAAAACCAAAAAATATATACGAAAAAAGTTATCGCATATATAAAAAAAAATACCTAATCATCAACATTTGCCCACGACTGTACTCAAACAGCTGATCAGTTACGAAATACAGAGTACGATCGAAAAGCTGTGACGTAATCATTCGGGTCACTGTTTTTATTCACGAAATTACGTTTAGTCAGTCATCATACTTGTTACATGTTAAGAAATATATACTAGTCATTATCATAGGGGGTAGGCAGAGGTGCAAGTTATTAAAATCATATTTTTCATCAGTTAAATACGTTTATTAATCTATTTCACAATCTTTATATACCTACTCTATAGTTCATACAAATTCAGTTATTAATTCTTTATTAATTTATCGTTGAATACTTTGGAAGCAAAATCCTGTGGCAAACTTGCTATCCGGGCGTGGTTTTTCCTGCGGTCGCTCGCGTCGAGTGCATGCGAATATCGCCTAATGATGTGCCCACTTTATACATTGTACACAGCATCTATCCTGATATTGTGTCGCGGAGAACCTAACGGGTTACCGGGGCTCCGGCTCGACGTGCAGGAGAAGGAACGGGGTGGTTTTTAGTCAGTAAGAGTCTGACACTCCCTCCCGCCTCACACAGGCGGGAGCAGTCATTCGATGATTATCCTCCATTAAAAAAAAACCGATATTGTGAGACAGACCGTAGATCTAATTATTTAATACTAGCTGACCCGGCAAACTTTGTACCGCCTACCAATTTTTTTCTCAATTTTTAAACCTCCCCTGGACTTCCACGAACAGTTCTAGACCAAATCGGTTCAGCCGTTGTCGAGTTTTAGCGAGACTAACGAACACAAACACACACATCTGAAATCTCGATTTTGAAATAAAAAATACCCAATTAATTTCTGACCCGGATATAGTACTGACGTCACATTGTGCGTCAGCCTATTGCCCAGTCGCTGTGCCAACTATTAACTGTGTTCAGTGGTAATTGACCATTGCTAAGAACATTTCGTAATTTTAAACCGACTTCAAAAAAAGAGTTTTTAAATTTGGCCTGTATGTATGAATGTCAGCGTTTATCTCGTGGTTGGCTGAACCGATTATGACGCGGAATGCCTTATGTGTTTAGGAGTAGGATTTCATATAAAGGAGGTTTGAGTCGGTTTTTATCGTAACGTAGTTAATTTAAAAATTATTTGAATAAGTTTTACAGTACAACCGAATTGTTTATTTTGTTTAATATACCTACAGGTAATAAAATACAAACTGATTCAGTACAGAGACAGTAGCTATTGTTATCGGAGTCGCGGAGAACCTAACGGGTAACCGGGGCTCCGGCTCGACGTGCAGGAGAAGGAACGGGGTGGTTTTAGTCAGTAAGAGTCTGACACTCCCTCCCGCCTCACCCAGACGGGAGCAGTCATTCGATGATTTTCCCCCCTTAAAAAAAAAGCTATTAATATACTAAATTGTATGTATACGAATGGGCCGGCTTGCCCGGAGTGATACCACGGCCGAGCAGAAAACCGACGTGAACGTGACGCTTGCGTTATGTTTCGTCGTGTAAGTGAGGTTACCGAAGGCACAATTACCCACCCCCCAATCCCTGAATTCCAAGAATCCTCAAATTCTTTATCCCAAAAGGCCATTAACACACTTGTAATTTGGCTAGTGTCCCAGCTGTCCATGGACATGTGATTGACCCATCAGGTGATCCGTCTGCTTATTGCCGGCTTATCTTCGGAATCATTGGATTTTGATTAGCAAGTGAACGAGCACACGGATCATCTAGTGGTAAGCAATCGGCGTAGCCTATGGACACATGAAACACCAGAGGCGTTACAAGTATGTTACCGGCCTTTTGGGGATTAGTAATTTGAGGATTGTTGGGGGATTCATATTGGGGATATTGGGGCAGGGGGAGACCTATAGTTACTTTGTACTGAATTACGGTGACGGTAGAGTAAAAACATCTGTACCACTCCTACTCTTCCCGTGGGTGTCGTAGCATTTAACTAAATCTGAACTTTTTAACCTGCGATCTCCAACCCGTTTGCTAAGTGTAGAGATTACAGCAATGCTTCCAATGTAATGTACTGTAATCTCTGATATTTATGTACCTTTTAAAATACAATCTCCAACTCCTTTGCCAAGTGTGGCGATTACAGCAATAACTTTCATGTACATGTCTCATCTCTGACAATCATGAACATTTTAAAATGCAATCTCCAAACCGTTTGCCAAGCCTGGAGATTATGGCAAACTACTTGTAGAGCAGACCCATAGTCTAGCAGTGGACTGTTGATGATGTAGAACATTTCAAAATTTGTTGAATCATCATTTTCAGACGACAACAATAACCAGTATAAACTGGCCGTCTATTGTACGGAAAATTCATATAAAGCGAGGTCACGATACACTGGTTATAAAGACCAGTATAAACTGACAGTTGAAGGTGCGAGCAGTTCATACGAAGCAAGACCTTACTAAGCTGGTTTATTGTAGTATATGAAATGACTATATTTTGTCATCGCAGTTACATACATACATACATGAGTATTTTGAAAGTCTTTGTGTTACAATACAATGGTAGCTAATGATGATGATCGTTCGTGACGGGTTCGATTCCATAATACGACTTTTATTTGGTAGAACACGCAGACTTAGTGTTATAATGGTGTCGAGGCTATTGTTAGATCGGTTATTCCGAAATTTCGTGAATTCCGAAATTCCGAGTTCCGTGTTGAGTTTCGATATTGCAAATTAGACGACTTAAATTTATGCTTAGAAGGTTAAGTGCAACAGGTTAAGGTCTTCATTGGTTTCTGAGAAGATTATTTATTTATTTATGGATTGGAAAACCAACAGATAACATAATAACACCAGAAAGCCAATTACAGGTTTTCACGGACAGATTTCACATTATTCAATTAAAAAAAAAACACTCACAGTCCTAACAAATACATCGTTTAAGAAAAGAAAATAAAAAAAAAACAACAAGAGCATATACCAACTAAATAAAAAACATAAAAAATAAACGCAACATTAATAGAATTTTAACATTTTGCAATAATACATAACTTCTTCATAACTTAACAACTTTTACCCCCGAATGGATAGGCAGAAGTGCACATTACGACACTTAATGCCACTGTACAATGTAACACCCACTTTTCACTATTTTATGCTATGAGTCCCATGTAATAGGGGGTGAGTCTATTGTCGTATAAAAAAAAAACATTAATTTAAAAAGTTGACCTAACTCAAATTGACGTTAGTTGTCAAAAGTCAAATCTGACATTACGTGACACGTACAGTCTAAGCTCAATAAAGAGTCTAAACGATTGTATAATGTCCACTTTAATAACAGAAATTGTTGTTTAAAATTGTCAACGGTCAGTAATTGAGATATAATGTTTCTTTTAAATTGTTCTTAGCGGCCATATTGAGAAAATTATGAATGTGTTAACGGCTTTTGTATGATATTTCGCACATTTAGTTTTTTTTTCTTGAATGGCATCCGATTCTATGTAGTAACTAGCTGTTGCTCGTGACATTGTCCGCGTATAATATGAATGTTAATAACTTTATTTGTTTCAATTTTTCTAATATAAAAGTAGCCTATATTACTCCATACTACATCAGCTACCTGCCAATGAATGTGCTGTCAAAATCGGTCCAGTGATTCTATAGATTACCAGCCATTCCAGAGATTACCCTGTACAAACAGACAGACAGATCGACAGACAGACAGACATACATATAGACCGACAAGCAGAATAACATTAAAAAATATATTTTATTATGGCTATCGTATGTATATACATAAATATGAAGTAAAAAGCGGTTATTTTAATAATAAAGTCAAAGTCAAAAGTCAAAATCGTTTATTTCAATTAGGCCAGGAAGGCACTTTTGAACG